AAAACAAAGAATTATTATTATTTAAAATTTCTATTTTTTATAATATTTTTTACCGTTGTAAAAGTGTTGGTGTATTTAATGGTTGTTCATTTAATTCATGATTATTTTTAATCCATGAATGTTGAAGAACTTCAGCAGCTGTTAAACGGAATGATGCATCACGAACTAATAAATGTTTTATTAAATCTTTTGCATCATTTGATATATATCGCCAATCTTTATCAGGAAAATCAAATTCACCATTTTGAATACGTTCAAATAATAAACTTTGACATTGTTCACATTCTTCACCTTTTGTCCAACCACATGTATGTCCACATGTACCATAAAATGGTGGATAACCTGATAACATTATATATATAATAATACCAAGTGACCATAAATCACAACGTTTATCATAGATTTGTAATGAACCTTCAAGACTTGTCCATGCATCAACAACTTCTGGTGCCATAAATTCAACTGAACCAACCTAAGAAAAAAATAAAACAAAAATTTTATTTTTTTGAAAAAATATATATTTTTTTTTACAGGTGTTGATAATTCAGGTGTTGTTATTGGTGTTGTTTTATTACTATTAAGACGAATAGCTGAGCCCAAATCAAAATCACATAATTTTATTGGTACTAAAGAATCGGCACGTTCAACTAAGATATTTTCCGGTTTTAAATCTCTAAAAGAAAATATTTTGTAAATATAAAAAACAATTTTTTTATTTCTATATACAAACCTATGAGACATGCCTTTCGAATGAAGAAAATTCAAACCATTAGCAATATCACGTACGATTAAACTAGCTTCACGTTCTGTTAAACGGCCACGTTTCATTATATGATTGAGTAATGGCCCTAATAAAATACAATTTTTATTTTTTTTTTATCTTTTTTAGTTTATATTCATAAAATAAGAAACTTACCACCTGCCATTTTTTGAAAGACAAGATAAAAATAATCATCATCCTCAAGGAAATCAATTATGCTTAGAATATTTTCACAACCACGACAATGATAATATATATCAATTTCTTTAAATACACGTGTTCGATTTGGATGACGAGCTTTACTGATTATCTAAATAAGACCAAAACAAAAAATAAAAATAAAACTTTTGTCTTTTTAAAAGATTATTCCCCTTCTTTATCATTTCTTCAAATATTTTTATTCAAATTATCAACATTATCTTTTTCTTTCTTTCTTCCTTTCTTTCTCATTCTATGTTACTATAGATTTATATCTCGGGGTCGCTCGTCGTTCTCTTTTCCGTTCTGTGTCATTCTGTTAACATGCACATTCCATTCGTCATATATATAAAAACAAAGGGGTCAAAAAAAAAAAAAATTTATATAGAAAGGAAATAATCAACATACTTTTACGGCATATTCTTGTTTTGTTACTCGATCGCGACACGTTTTGACAACTCTAAGAAAATATAAAAAAAAATAAAAACCTTTGTTTTATTTTGTTTTGTTTTTTTACCCGTGTGCACCGGTTCCAAGTAATTCTTCAGTTAATTTATATTTATCACTAAATGATACATCTGAATATGAATTAGCTGTTCGACGTTTTTTCTTTTTTTGTTGTCGTTTTTGCACGCTATTTATCGGCGAACTTTCTGATTTACATCCAGAATTTGTTGAATCACGTAAAATAAGTTCTATTTATAACAAAAAAAAGAATTCAAATAAAACATCTATTGTTTAATCTCTACCTGCTGGTTTTGATACATTTAATGATGTTGGTCGTTTTGTTTGTGTTCGTCCAATATTTTCAATGGTTGTATTTAACATTGTTGGTGTTGATGGACTACTATTCAATAAATCATCATATGAATGACCAGCAACTGCATTCAATTCTTCTTCACTCTAAATATATACATACAATCTGGTCTGATCCTTCAAAGTTCATATGGATCGAAGAGCTTAAATCTGATCATTGTGATTGTTTTATGACAGCTTACTAATCTTTCTTTTATTTTATTTTATTTTATTTTTTTTACGAGGTATCGAAATAGAAAAGGAGAAAAAAAAAACCAACTTACAAATGCGAATATGGGATCCATTGTTGATTGATTTTTGAAAATAATTTTGAATAACAAAATAAATCAATTAAATTTTCTTATCGAATAAATTTTAGTCCCATCAAATATTTATTAATTAATACACGACGATCTTGTTGTTGTTTTTTTTGTTTCTATGTTTTTTTTTTCTTTTGCTCTTCTGTTTCACTCACTCACAACACACACACACTTTTGTTAGTCGCCGTGCGCGCGCACGATAGAAATAAAAGCTAAATAGAACAGTGCGCTTGCCATTTATATAGTAGCGCTCGATCGTGGTGTGTACTCTCTTCTTTTTTTCCTCTTCTCGCATTCTTTTTTCTTTCTTTCTTTTTCTTTTTCTTTTTTTTTCTTTTCTCCTATATACCCGGGCAAAATGATGCCCGCGTCAATGATTTGCTGTAGTTCGATGTCATAAGACTTATATTCGCTGGAGTTTTGTCTATATATCATCTCGTGAAGTGCGTATGAGAAAAAAAAGAAAAAAAAAAGTGATAGATTAAAGGACATATATAAACACGTGCTCGCCCTATGGATATATCAGCCGATCAATAACAATCGGAAATAGCATAAATCACATGACAAAAACTATTCTAATAATGATAATCTATTATATAGTCTATATAAGATAGAAGAAAAGGGTAATTGGTTTGGTCGTTACTTGAGATATTTTGACAAAGTAAAGACAAACAAATGTAAGATGATGACTAAAGAAAAAAAAAAGCTGATTACTACTACGATATTTTCCGCATAAAAATAATGATGTTTAAAATAACAAACGAAGCCTTGAATAAGATTGGTTCTAGGAAAATTTTCAAGTGTTTATTTTATATTAATACAAAAAAAAAGAAAGAAGACAGAAACAAATAATATACTTCAAGTAAATTTTAAAAAATATATGAATTCAATTGATTTTGTCTTTTTTGTTTTTTTCTATCAAAATTTCTGTTTGTTAAGACAAATATTTCGTTCTATTCGGTCTTTATGACACGTATGGTGATGATGATGATGATGATCAGTACACATGACGTGGTATTAGTTACAATACAGGCAGACAACAGATGTTTTTTATTGTTTTTTTGAATAGTTATGACTTATTCTTTTTTATTGTTATCGTTAAAGATAGAGAATAAAAGAGAGAAAAGAGAAAATGAATAAGTAAGTGAACGCCCTCAAGCATAATGATCACTTTCTCATATATGTTAGGTGTGAAAAAAGGATTAACATAGTATCTATGTACAAAAAATCGATTCAATTAGAATGAAAGAAAATTTCTTGACATAGCATTACGAGGACAAACGCGATTAAAATCAAAATAAAGTGTAGGTGTACATTGTATATACGTGTCAGTTTACTGTACATATCTTCAATGACAGATAATGAATAAGTAAGAAAAAAAAAATCAGATAGAAGAAGAAAAATCTTTTGACATTCGTCGAAAAAATATATCAATATATATTAATATTCACTAGCATAGTTAACAACGAGTAAAAGACAAAAAAAAAAACCTACATAGGTTATTTAATTTCTGTTTTTAGAAAGTCAGCCTTGATAATAATGTGCGCGTCACATTGCATAAATGATATTTCATTAGTTAAATTCGATGCATGGAGCAAGGTGACAAAGGAAAAAGAAATGTAAAAGTATGACTATATATATATATATATATAAATTAAATTTCCATATGTGTTGATTATTTTAAGGTAACCTTTGAGAAGAAGAAAAATAAAATAGAAATACTTTTTTCATGACAAACAAAGAAATATGTTAAAATGACGATCATTATCAGCATAATTTCACAGTTGAGTTAGAAGAGGCAAACGCCTACACTTTTTTTTTAATGTATATTTACATATCCTTAAACAATTTCTTCTGCTTTTGTCACGCACGTCTAATTACCATTATTCTAAAAAAAAAAAGAACGAGATAATAGTGAAAAAGATTTCCTTGAGGCTCAATATTAAAAATAGTATCGCACATTAAAAAAAAACAAATCAAGCGTATATAATACAAATCATTAAAAATTCAAATTTAGAAAATATTCAGAATTCTTTTCATTTTCTAGAATATAATTAATATTTTCCCTACAAAAATTATTTACATTAAAAATATAATAAACAAGCATTTCATCCTAATCTTTAGATTATCATAAGACTTTTCTGTTTTTTTTTTTTGGCTTAAGTAAGATCATGAATGTAATTAGTAGAAGAGAACAACACTTCAGTTTTCTGACGGACTTACTACAATATAATACGAATATATAGAAAAATCTTCATCCATATATTTTATTCACTTGAGTAACTTTTAAATGAAAACATCAATCAATAAAATTTCAATTATCATTTAAAAAAATAAACCGAATTCTATATCATCAAATAAACATTTCCTATATAAAACTTTTTGAATAAGATTATTCTTTTTACTATTAAAAATTTCTTTATCGATTCAAAATTTAATTAATATACTTTTATTTCTTTCGACTAATGCAAGTAAGATCGTTCATTGTAGAATTACAAAACAAAGGAAGAAAAAAAAAAACTAAAGTATGACGAAAACTATTATTTTCGTTTAATAAACATCCAAAAAAAAAAAAAAAAAAGAACAAGAAACAAACACACATAAAGAGATGAATGAATATGAACGTGAATAATGCTTAAATCGTCTACAAAACTAATCATTCTCTAACGATAAGTTTTGTCTTATGACGACGATATTATCATAAAAAAATAGCACAACGAAACAAAAAAAAAAGAAAAAAAGAAGCATACAGCACCAAGAGAAAGAAAAAAAGAAGGAAAACAAAGCAATATTAAACAAATTCACACACGCATATTATTTGATTCATTATTATTTGATGTGTGCAAATTAATATATATATATATATATACAAAGATAGGGACCGGTTAATAAAATACTTGAATAAAAAAAAAAAAAGAAAAATTCGTTCACTTAGCACGATTTGGAAGTGTTGAAGATTTTTGTTTTAATGTTAGTCCAGCATTATTACCAAATAAATTGGAAGTCGATGAACTCATACTTGTATTTTGCGAACGAAATGATGCAGTACTTGTTCTAAAATAAATATATAAAATAAATTCGAATATGTTTTCATTTAGAATTTGTTTTTTTTTTTTTGTCAAATCAATCATTTTGGTACAATGTCAAATATAAAAGCAAATAAATAACACGTACCGATCATAAGCAAAAAAAATTTTGTAAGCATCTTAAAAAATTTTACAAAATAGAAAACATACGTAAAAATGATTAATACCAATCCCCATCATCACTAGGTAAATTATTAGCTGGACTAAATATATACATGGATGAATAATTTTAATTTTTTTTTTTTTTTTTTTTTTGAATTAACGGCGAAAATAATATAAATAATAGATAAACTCACTAAGTTTTTGAAATTTTAGTAGGTAATGTTGCTGATTTGTGTAGACTTTTTGAAGATTTTTTAGTTTTTCTACTGAAAAAATATTAATAGATTATTATTTCTATTTATATTTTCAACTTCTGATATAAAATATTCTATTCAATAAGATTAAATTATCAAATCTCGTTCACCATGACCTACTATCAATACTATTCATGAGACAATTGATCAAGCTAGTACAAATGATAACTTTCGAGAAGATTTAGACTTTGTTTACTCCTGTTGATAAAGAATTGTTTATAATAACTATCGAGTTCATACCATTTATCGAGATTTTACATATATGTAAGCCGATCCATTGTTTGGCAGTGGCGACTACTAGTCGTCGGGTTGGTATCGACTTCGAAAATTTTCGACTCGATGGCCTCTAATCATCTGCGCAATGTGTAGAGTTAATTACTCACCGAATATTTAAAAAAAACCGGAATTATCTCGTATCTTTGGAGTGACTATCCAATTAGAAAATTTCAAGATCTGAGCTCGAGTCCCAAAAGTGGCCAATAAATTAGGTCTAATCGAGTCTAAAAATTTTGAACTCGACAAGCTCTAGCGGCGGCTGAAAATTTTCAATGACCTTTTTTAAGTTTTAATTGATGGTAGAAAACTTATTAACAAGAACATCTCGAAAAAAAAAACTAATTCTAGCCGTCGGTAATTTTCAAAAATCAAATCATTTATTTGTTTTTTTTTTGTCTAATACCTTAATGAATCCGTTTGAGAAAGTGGTGGACGTGGTACTTTTGTACTTAATTTAGTAATCCATTGTTTTTGTTCTTTTTCACTGCTACACATAACTAATAATTCTTTAACAGTTAATGTATCATAAACTAAAATTAAATAAAATATAAATTGTTTTTATTTTTGTTTTTTTTTTATAATCTGTACCTCGACATGGTTGAATAAATTCTCCATCATCATAATGTTGTTTATGACAACGAACACGACATCGTGTACATTGAAGACATTGTGGTGGTGAAATTAAATTATAACATGGATGATTACATACTTCACATTCTGTTCGCATACGATATGTAACAACAACAAAATTATGACCTTTATATTCAATTGATTCACCATTATGACGATCTTGTTCCTTTTACAAACAAAATAAGGATATCAATATGTATAATTTATATATTAAATATACTTGTGAATGGATAACTGATGATGAAAGTACATTTGGTATTGAATTACCTTGACTATCATAAATAATTTGGAATATTTTTGGAATTATACTTGGATCAACATGAAGTACATCACCTAGAAATAAAAAAATTAAAAATCAATATTTTGTTTTTCTTTAATGTTTATTTTACCTTGATTAACAGCACGAACATGATAAAGTTTACTAAACAAAAACAAAAATAAATAAGTATAAATAAATCATTAATTCAAAAATTTTTTCTAGGTGTATAAGAAGTCATTACACATATTTTTCTATTATTTATAATTGAACTTTCTCAAAAAACTAAATAGAAAGATCGATGAGTGTGATCTAATGTTTGTTTTATTTCCTAGGTAGTTCAGAAAATGATTCACAAACTGAAATGCAGCAGACTTTAATGATATTAGGAAATATTCAAACTCAAACCTAAGAGCGTTTCCATAATCATCTATATGCTTGAAGAACTACTTAAACACTCGATTCGGTTTGAGTAGTTTCCAAACTGAAGTTCAAATTTGCTACATGCCTAGACTCATTTGTTGTTAGTAATATGAAAGATAGTCTTTCGAGAATTATTTTTCCTTTTGATATAAACTCAAACAATAATACGATTTTCATACTAAAAACTTTATTAGAATATAGTCTAATTTTCGTAGATGTGATGTAAAAAGTGGGAAGAAGAAAAAGAACTAACCCACTTTAGCCACTCCTACATTAAGACCTATGAAATCTATTATGCATTTTCAAAGTAAAACAACTTCATCCAAAGGATTTTGACTTACAAACAAAATAAATGTAGATTAATAGAGAAAGACTTCAAGTTTTATAGCGTATCATCAAATCACCTTCGCCGTGACTACAGCTGAATATGGCACACGCTATTGACAAATCTGCGGAATGTGATACCACATATTACCATTAGATAGAGAAAGCCGCCCTGGCGGAGCATCCTCTAGCTCCGCTATTGAGAGGACCTCGTTCTACCGTGACACTTATATTCGCTTGTAAGTATAAATTAACATCTATTTGACTGATATGAAAGAGTCCATAAATAGAGATGTTATAGTCAGTCATCAGTTACTGATCCATTGATTTGCTGAGAGCAACAGACCTCGAAATGGGCCACCTTTTCTGTCGAACCATCCGGTCTGATGATTTTAACTTTTTCTGAGATTTGGCAGCTTCTCCACGCTATCTCTCTCTTGGTCATCACTTTTTATAAAATGGAACAGCTGTCTATTGAGAAAACAAATCTTAGTAAACGAAGTTTCTTTCGGGCTCGGACTGGGTCATAAAAAAATAGCTCGATTTCGAGGCCTGTGAAGAGATTATTATTCTCTTGCTTACTCAATATCAATTGAAACTGCAGGTTGTTGATCCTTTTCTGAATTGTATAATAATAAACGGTTTTTTTTCATAACGGCAAGTTGTTTTTTCCATCCATATTTTTGAATATTACTTTTCTTAGGAGTTTGTACCCAACTTTCTATATAATCTATACATAAAAAAGATATTTCCTTAAAATTCTAAAAAACGAAATTAATATAACCTTTTGTATCATCATCAACTTCTTCAGCTATTGATGAAATATTATCAATTGATGTACGTGATTCAAGTTGTTGTGTAAATTTTTCAATTTCATCTCGTCGTATTTCTAATTCACGTTTTAATTTACTTATATCTTCTAATAATACAGCTACTTCTTCATCTTTTTCATGTTGTAATTTTGTATATTTCATACGTTCCTTTACAAAAAAAACAAAAAAAATTATTAAAATAAAATAAAACTTTTTTTGTTTTTTGTTATTTATCATACCACTGCTAATGCTTGTTCAAGACGTCGTACGACATTACGTTCATTACGATCATGTCGACGACTACCACCCGTTGGTCGAGAATAGAATGGATTATGTTGCATTGGATTTGTAACAATTTCTTGTAATTTATTAACAGCCTAGAATAAAAATTGTCATGCTTTAGAGAATTCAAACAAAAACGAAAAGACATAATACGAACAGCTTCTTTCTTTGCACGTTCATCATCAGCTTTTTTACGTAATTCTGGTACTTGTCGTTCCAAATCATGTAATTCTAAAAGAAAAACATGACAAACTACTATCTATTTGAAAAAATAAAGAATGTCGGTAGTTGTTTTTTTTTGTTTGAATAACTTATGATAGAAACGATGAAGAGAGTTGGAGGATTAAAAATCTTCTAACTCTCTTTATTGTTTCTATCAAAAAAAAAAAACAACTATCGAATAATAATAAAACAGATCACAAACGGTCAAGAACATGTTTGAATTTATTAGTTGTTATGTCACGATCTTTAATGGCTTGTTCAAGATCATATTGGCTTTTTTCATATTGATCACGAACCTAAAGCAGAAAATGGATAATATTATGATATGACTTATTTCTCAGATTGTTATGATCTATATCAAAATAGTTCAATGCGGTTCTTGTCTAAAGAACTGTTCCTATTATAGAACATAAATAACGTCATGTGATAATTTCTCACAATAGAACTTCTTCAAGCATTAAATCTCTTTTCGATCGAGTCAATGAACCCACATTGTTCATGCAATGTTTGAAAGCGAAACTCGATTTTTTATGTGATCTAAGCGGGAAACCACAGCTTTTTATTGAAAAAAAACCAGTAAAATTTCGATACCTCAAGAACAAAGGCACGGAAAATCAAACCATTGTACACTTTTCTATTACCCATCAAATGAACATTACCTCGGTCGAGAAGCGACTTGACATCTGAAGAAAAAAATATATCTTTCAAAAACTTCGCTAGGTAGCCGGTCTCGCAACGAGCCGCTCGCTCAACGGAATATTTTGTCAGGTCGGACCTACACAATGTTCGAAGCGCTTTGGGCCTAAACAATCTTAGGATCACTTTGGGGCGGGGGAGCCTAAACAATGTTCGGGCCACTTTGGGCCGGGCCATAAAAAAGTGGCCCGACTTCGAGGCCTGCTAGGAAGCTCAAAGGTCCGCGGGGGAGAACGGCTCAATAGGGAAGCTGCAGATCTACGTTTTCATGGGCCTGGATTCGTAAAAAAATAAAACTTTGGGACAGGGTTCGGAGTTGGAAGGACCCGTAGCTTCATACGGCTGAGTCTCTTGTTTACAATCAAATTGGAGAAATTCCGGAAGTCTGATAACTAAGAATAATTTAATCTGTATGTTATAGGAATATAATTTTTTGTTTTTGAAAACTAACCGTATTAATTTCTGAATCAAGTAAACTTAATCGACTATTAAAATCTTTGCGTATAGCATCAAGTTCAATAATCATAAAATTTTTTTCTTTTTCTAATTCAGCACATTGTTCTTGTAATAAATTTAAATTTAAACTTTCAGTTTTTAATTTAACATTTGTTATTTCAATTTGTTTAAGAAGATTATCTCTAAAATATTAATTAATAAGATTTATAAAAAAAAAAATAAGAAAATTTTTACCTTTCTTCTTCAATATTCCTTTTTTCATTATTAATTTGTCGTAATTTTTCTGTTAATTCATTTATTTCATCTTTTAATTCATGCATTTGTGTACGATAAAGTACAGAAAATTTACTTTCAACTAAAAGAAGAAAAAATTGAAAATCAAAATCAAAAACAAAAAACAAGCGATTTCAAACCTTCAACTTGTTCTTCGTAATCAATAAGTTTTGTTTTATTTATTTTATATTCATTATTAATATGATTTAATTCTTCTACTAAACGTTCATTTCCTTGATATAAATGATCTAATTCATCTTGTAATTGTTTTTCTTTATTTAATGAATTATTTAATTCTTGTTGTAATTGTTTTATATCTTTATCATATTGTGTTCGACGGTGATTATCAAATTCCATTTGTTCAATAAATTGTTCATTTGATTGTTTAGATAATTCATGTTCAGAAAGTAATTGATTATAACTTGTTGTTAATTCTTTTAAATCAATTTCAACTATTCGAACTTTTTTTTGTGTTTGCATTAATTCATCACTTGATGTTTTTAACGCTAAACGTTCAGCATTTAATTTTTTTTCGAGATCTTAACAAAAAAAAAATTTTTTTTTTTCTTCGAAGAAAAGAATTGTAGAAAAAAAAAGAAATACCTTTAATTATTTCTTCTCTATGATGATCAAGATCTTCATCAGTTCGAACATGTTTAAGTTTATCAACAAGTAATTGTTCTTGAATTTTTTTATGTGCAATTTCTTCTTCAGAAAGTTTTACACGTAATGAATCGATTTCAACTTGAAGATTAAATTTTTCCTATTGAAGATTTTATAATTAAAGATATAGAACAAAACAAACAAGACATACACGTTCTAATAATGCACATGATTGACGAAGTTCACCAAATTCATTCATTTGTGATGCTTCTCTATCTTTATATTTCGATAATTCTATTGTCATAGTATTGCATTTTTCTATAAAAAAAAAAAGAAGAAATCTTCAAATCAGTTCTTTTATAAAGTTATTTTTGAATTTATATGGTTAAATTTCATACAAATAGATAAAATTTCAAGAGAATCTTATGTCTTAAATGTTTAGTTTCTTAAGCTGGTAATTCCGATTATTCGGGAGCAGCTATAATGCCGTTTTTTTAGACGTGGGTGAATGTACGGAATAGAGCCTGTCGTATTTTCGAAACCTGTTTATTGAATGTTTATGAAATAGGTTCTAGTGTGGAAATGAAAATATGAATAGATCTATTCGCTATGAAGTTTCATTGTAAATTTAAATGATTCTCCTCGAGAGTGATAAAAAATTCTTTATTATTCTATTAGAGTTGACTAACTTTCAAAGACTACTAATCATAAATTTTCCGATCTATATTTATATGTATAAAGTATTAAGAGCAGTTAAGCGTGAAGGGAGCACAAGAATTTGACTAAAAAGAAAATATAGAATTGGAAGAGTATTAATGGTCAGTCTGTATTTTTAAATATTATTTAGAAAAGTTCGAATCAAAATTATACCTAGTGGATCCATTGATGATAATAGATATCCCAAATGGATTTCTTACGTCAATAAAATAAATGTATTATTGCAAAGAATAAATAACTATAAGAGTAACTCAGTGAATGCCTTCTCTAATATATATATATATCTGCTTCGCAACTATAAAAGAAAATACCAAGTGTGCCGTAGAAAAAAGTGATAATAATACAACAATGCTATTGTCAGTACAGATTAATATAGAACATTCCGATGATAAGAAGAAAAAAAAAATATCTTCAGTAAAATTATATGATTGATATATTTGATCCATATTATAGATACAGATAAATATCTAAAGTATTTAATGACCATTGCCTCAAGTTATAATAATAAATATACAGCTGTTTATTACAATGAAAGTTTTCCTATATTATGAAAACAATAGGTCTAATATACAATAGATTGTTTAATTTGACATTTACCAACGCCAAAAAAAAAAACAATGTTTCATCTGAATATTTCACAAGTAAGTTGAATATTCTACTCCGTAATTTGATTTTTCAGAAATTATTTTTCTATTATTAATTCGTTTCATAGACATATATTTCTCTAATTTACCTTCAAGTGTTTGAATTTTTTCTAATACCATTAATTTAGCATTTTTTTCTTGTTCTATAATTGATTGTTGATTAAGAAAATCTTTTTCAATTTTAAGTTTAATAGAAATTAAATCTTGATATTTTTCATATATTTCATTATATGTACGTTCAAAATGTACACAAGTTTTTTGTGTTTCTTGATTTTGTTTTTTTAAACGTGTATTACTATCAATTTCAATTTTAAGTTTATCATTTAATTCATTTATCTAAAGAAAATAATTAAAAATTAAAGAAAAAAAAAAAAAGAAAATAATTAATTATACTTGTCGTTCAAGTATAGTAAGTTTTTCTATTGATTCACGATTTGTACTATCCATTTGAGTTTTAGTTTGTTTTTCATTTTCAAGTGTACGTTGAATTTCTTCTAACTTACGTTCATATGTTCGACGATTTTCTAATTCAAGTTCATATTTTCGTTGAGCCTAATGATATAAAAACTTTTTCAATAAGAAAAAAAGAAGAATTAGTTTTTACGAACTTCTTTATTTTCTGTAGTAAGAATAACATTTTTTCTTTCAATATCATATAATTTACTATTTAATGATTGTTCGTCTTGACATTTTATATTTAAATCCTCATATAAACGTCTAAAAAAACAAATTAAAATTTGACTAAATAAAATAAAATATATTATTTATACTCTTTTACCGAACACGAATTTCTAATTCATTTTTTATTCGTTCATTTTCTTGTAAACGTTGTTCTAATTCAGTATTGCTAAAATTATTGAACTAAAAATAAAATATTCAAAAAAATATGTTTAAAATTGAAATTTCGTTTCTTACATTGCTCGCCAAACGACGTTCAAGAAATGGTCTAAATTTAGAAGAAACAAAAATTGATTAGGATTCAAACAATTACAACTTATATATTCAGATCTAATGAGTTATTCGAAAAATTTTGTTAAACTTTAGGAATGGCATTTTAGGTGAGAGGCCGAAAGCTTTTTATATCCGAGTGTGTAAAAACAAAACAAAGTTTTTTTCGAATAGTTCACATCAAAGATACTGAGCTAACAAACCTCCTTATCGGTCCCTTTTGTAACGCACAATTTTGTCTCATAGTGCTAAGAGCCACCATAGCTCCCTGGCTACGTTACTCGACACGTAAGCTCAAGGCACTGTGTTTAAATTTTCGTACCATCAGTTATGAAATGACCTTGGAAAAGTCACTGACGGCTGTTTGTTCTGAAGCATTCACGCAATAGCATGCTGATTAAGTTGTGACATACGCTCGCCCTTATGCGTAGGGTAGCTCAAGCGATTGGGAGCAAGATTTCTGCGTCAGATCAGTCTTCTGTCCTGAGCTATAGCTAGTTGTAGGGAAGTTATCGGATTGTTGTATGTACCACCCCATACCATAGATAGCCGGAAGCCAATGGAGAGCTCAGGAGTTTTTTTTTCCGGAGGATTGATTGTTTCCAGGAGGACTACTGTGGCAGGAAATTGATTTTAGACATGCAAAAACAATTCGACCCGTACTTCCCTCCATGAGAATCGCTTCCGCTCTGGGCACGTCATTGCGGAAGGTAGGAGTATTCTTCCTTTTTTACCTGATAATACTGAGAACTATGTTTTTGAAAATTCTAGCCAAGTCAACAATTTTAAGTTGGCTTTTCGAATAGAGATTATTGATTCGGGATATATTGAACAAACATATGAAAAAAAACCATTGTTTATTCTTTCTTGAGATTATAATTTTATGTAAATTATTAAATAGAAATCTTACTGTTGTTCATTGGAAAAAGAAAATCCAATAAATGAAAGTTGATGTCCAGCGAATGCTTTATTAATTGAAAATGATTCTTCTGATGGAGCATCAGTTTTGTCAATTTCATTAAAATTACTTGTATCTTCATCATTTGTTAATGGTGGTACAATAGGTACTGTAGCTAAATTTTAATTAATAAAATTTTAATACTTTTTTCTTTTTTAATATTTAATTCTTACCTTTTCGTATTGTTTCCCATGTCCATTCATTATGATTAGTAAAAAATGTATGAGCTTTTACTTCTTGAACACCATTTTTACCTAAACGTGCTGATCTAAAATAGAAAAAAATTTGTAGAACAAACAACAACAAAAAAAAAAGTTTGGAATAGAATACCGATCAGTAAGAAAAGCACACATTAAAGCACGTGCTTCAGTAGATAAAGGAATTTCTTCAGGAAAAGTAAGATTATCTTCATGATGCATTATTTTATGATATGTTCCAACTAATGATTCAGCATAAAATGGTGTTTCACCTAATAACATTTCATAAAGAAAAACACCAACAGACCACCAATCAACTTCACGTCCATAAACTCCTGTTGTACTTTGAGATTTTAATATTTCCGGACTTATATAATCCGGTGTACCAACTGCAGTATCAGATCGTACGAGGCCATCCTTAAAAATTAATTATTTATCAAAAAAAAAACAAGAAAATTTTCTTTTTTTTTCATTTTACTTTATCCATTTTAACGCAAGTACCAAAATCAGCTAATTTTAAATGTCCACGAGCATCAAGTAACATATTATCCGGTTTAATATCCCTATAGAAATAAAAGAAATTTGATAATTATAAATAGAAGTAAACAACTTTTTTTTAAATTTATACCGATGAATATAACCCATAGTATGAATAGCATCAAGAGCAAGTACAACTTCAGCACAATAAAAACGTGCAGAACTTTCATTTACTTCATAACGTTCAAGTAATGTGATTAAATCACCTCCGGGCATATAATCCATAATCATATATAACTGAAAAAAATAAAACATTTTTTGTTTTCTTTATTAAAAAATTTCAATAAACCTAGTCTTAATTCATATGGTCATATTATCTAAACATATTTAGCAATACAACGCGTACTTTTAAAGCTAAAACGATTAAATTGTTCAATTCAATATTTTTTTGAAACACGATCTGAAAGGAGTGTTGAAGTATATAGGGTAGAAATTTGGATTCACCTCCATAGAATGTGACAGACGCCCTTCGGATTCATCACAGACGTTTTTGATGCATGACTATCGATCAGCTCTCATGAAAGTATATAAACTGCCTTCTTCTTGAGTCCTAGAGGATAAGTAAAAATTGATGAAGAATGGGTCTGTGCCGATAGATCGAATAAAACAATATTCTGGTGATTAGTAACAACAGCTATATCGTGTTTCACATACTAATCCCGCAGAGATTGCGCTAACAGCTTTTTTTATTAATAGCAAACTATTTCAAAGATAGAATAATGATCTCTGTTCAAATACCAACATCACTATAACACGTGAAGTTCTACAAGGAAGCGTCTTTTGCGGCTATACTTTTTATAAACTCAAACTTTTGAAAAAGTCCGTCATAGAACTTTGTTTAGATACCTTCGACACTAATAAATGTAACCTTTGCAGTATATCCATCGCTTCGCACAGTTTTTGAGATATCTATTCGATGGCATCAACATCGATGATTTCAACAAGTACTATCCGTTTCAAAAAATAGTGCGCTTCACTGTTTTTCGAATAACTCCGGAACGCAATCAGCTAGAGACTTGTGGTTTTCGCTAATCGAAAGAGGAGATGAGGGAGCATCTTTTCCCCTAATATCATATAAGACAAGAGCACTGCTAACTGTATCGTTTTTGCAAAACTCTGCAAAACATGCAAAAAAACTAACGTGTTGTTCTTAGGAAATTTTGGTTTTGAGACCTAATTTTGATAGAGCGACTTCAAATCTATAGTTCAAGATATAATCCTGATGACTATCTTTTGCATCCGGTTACTGAGCAAATAAAGAAATCTGTTTACTCACTCGAAAAATATGTCTTTTTCTTAATTTTTAAGCAAATTTTCTTGCATGTTTTGCAGAAATGATGCAGTTAGCAGTATTCTTGCCTTATATAATATTAGTGAAAAAGATGCCCCCTCATCTTCTCTTTCGATTAGCGAAAACCGCAAGTCTCTAGCTGATTGTGTTCCGGAGTTATTCGAAAAATAGTAAAGTGCACTATTTTTTGAAATGGATAGTAGATCGCTGGTATTGTTTCATTCATTGAAGACAGAAATGCTAGAGTTGATGTTTTATTTCTGTTTCGTTTATTTTTCTTTATTTCATCTACTATCGATTTTTTTACTCGTTATATTGATCAAATCAAGGTATATATACATGTACAGCTTTGACTGAATGAAAAAAATATGGTGAACTTAAATAAGTGTCCACAGCGCTTGTTTAAAAAACTAATGAGCGTGACCACAAGTATATGGAAATTTGATTGGTCAATCTGGTGAGTTTTTCGAAAATGATATTCTGAAGGTATTTTTTCTTTCGATTTAGATTTTCAATAGAAAGAATTCTACGTAAAATCGACACTCCTAAGTAGGCGGTTCATTCAAGAGTTATAAGACTTTTTTTGAAACTTTGAATTTTAACCTATTGACTTCTGATCATTCGAAGAAGTCACCATACTGAGTCGAATGGTGTTATTTATTTTTGATTTGACGCTTTCATCTCAATATTTTCGAAATGTTGACTCCTTCATTACACGATGAAATTTCAGATAACAATGTTGAATCATTCCAAACATCAAGAATTTTTTCTATTAAAAGCCTGAATCGAAAGCAAAAATATCTTCAGAATATCGTTTTCGAAAAATTCACCCCATTGATCAATCAAATTTCTATATACTTTAATGACCCTGGATCTTCTATCTTGAATGGCGAAAACTACAGGTTTATGTGAAAATGTTTGTATTCTAAAAAACTTAATATTTCATCATATGACAATACGCTTTGTTCAGTAAAGTACTTAGAATTTTATCTATGAGATAAGGACAAGAACTTTACGTCTTTCACTATTATGATATTGTCTTTTCGACAAAAAAAACGTATATTGTATTTAATTTCTTACATTTTTTGAATCTTGAAATGCATAATGAAGTTTAACAATCCAATCACTATTTGAAAAAGCCATAATATTACGTTCTTCCCAAAAGAAAGCACTATCAGATCGTTTAAGCTAAGAATCCCCCCCAAAAAAAAATACAAATAAACATATTAAAATCGATTTAAAACTATCGTTTTACCATTTCAAATTTACTTAATGTTTTCATAGCATAAACTTGTCCAGATGGTTTTCGTCGTACAAGATCAACAGTACCAAAAGCACCACGACCAATAATTTTAATTGGTTCAAAATCATCAAAATTAATTCGTTTTTCACGAATATCTCGTGTAGATGCATAAACTATAAAATATTTTTAAATACATTTAAATTAATAAATAATTTTTTTTTGTAAAAAATTTACATTTTGAATAGAATGTATCGAAATTTTTTGTCTTTTTAAGACCTTCGGAATCATAAACTAAAGCAATAATGGAATCAAGGAGACTATCTACTGATATTGGTGAACGTGGATCAATAATACGTTCTTCAAGTTGTCGAGTACGTTGATTTAAATCTTTTCCTGAAGTTGCCATTTTATTGACCATTCTATTTGTACAGAAAACTATTTTGTTTTAAAATATTAATCATAATTGAGCACCTATTATATCATTTATTCTTTCACATTCATTCATAATGAGAAAGGAAAAGCTAAAAAGAAAAAAAAAATATATATATTTTATTGACATCAATTCAAAAGAATTTGATGGAATCTATAATAATAACAACAACAATAATTTGCACAGATGAGAAATAAATTCATACACCTGCCTACACTAAAACAAACAAGACGATGCATATAATATATTTATATTATATTATATGACTCAATTAAACAACAAGCTAAACGTCAAGTGGATAATTTATACTAACCAATAGTGAAATTGTTTTAATGACATCTATTCATGAATAAAAATAAAATACAAAAATTCTATTCAAAATAGAATTTAATAAATGATAATATTAAACATATTCGAAAGTTTTTCAAGAACTTCATAGTAAAACTCTGTCAGAAATCACCATAGGGATTTTGAAAAGAAATTTATAACAACTTACTCATGATTGACAAGTAAATTTAAATAGAATCTACAAATTTCGAAGTCTTATAAATCAAACTTGATACAAAAAATAAAATATAGATTTTTTTTGCACTTAAGCTATTATCTCAATAAATCAGTCAGTGAGTTTTATAAAAATAAAATACTCGTATATCATTTAATTCTTCACTATGTTATATATTTCTATAGACAATAAGAAGAATATTATTATTGCATTCTCTTATAAATTCATTTAAAAATCATTAGAGTATTCCTATCGACTTTATAATATTTCTCGTCATTCTCTCAAAAATAAATATTCTCTGAGGATATGTTAGACAATTATGGATGAGTTTCAGACAATGTTATATTCTTTGAGAATGTTGTATCGATTCACAAGGAATTTCTCAGTTTTTTAAGCTATGTTACTACGAACAATAGACAAGAAGAATAGTTAATAGTCTGTTTGTTTCTATTGTCTATCATTGTAAAAGAAATGAATATAGAATGGTACTATTTTATTATAAAATCTTTTCTTTTTCTTAAACTAAATCTAAGCCTTGATATTTTCTTCTTCTCTAAAAAAAAAAAAAAAGAAATTAAATTCTATCATATTCAATGAATGTCTTCAATATATCATTATAATTCCAAATAGAAAAATTAGCAACTTAGCTCGTTCGCAATATGAATATGATATATTCCTTTTAGTTTTGTTGATCTAATAAAAAATGTGCATTTTTGAAAAGCTTCTTATAGACGAGAGTTTCTTTCTTATGAATATATAATCGAGAAAAATAAGTATTTTGCCGGAAAAACATATCTTATTTTATTAATATGAATCGACTTTCTCGATGCACTCATCACAAGTTGTTATTTTATGTCATGATGTTCTCAAGTAACGAAAACTCAAAAAAAAAAACATATTCATTCCAAACAAGAAGTAAAAATATCGAGATTAAATCGATAGTATGGTTGTTTTTTTTTTGTTCGTCAAACTTCCCGAAGAAATTATATTTGCTTTAGAAATATTTTTATTCAAGGTTCGAGATAATCGACACGATGACAGCAACAAATGTTCGCCACCACTCATGTTGCATATGTCTACGACAGCTGTAAATACAACTCGTGATATAAAATAAATTAGAATGATAATTTCGATATCTCTTAGTAATGAATTTTCCAATAGACTTTGAACAGATAGCTGATGAAAACATAATCTTTTTGATTTACAACAACAACAACAACAACAAAATAAAGGAAATTCTGATTGCAGTGAAGAAAAGCATTTTATGATAAGTTACAAAGCCTATGATTCGTTTTTTGATGAGATATCGATATTTTCAATAATCAGCATTTGCAGTCGAGTGAAACTCTCGAATGTCATCTGCGTAGATTTTTCTTTTAGTTTGATACTATCATTTTTCGCTGTACGCATTATTTAAGTTGTATATAAAATAATTTATTTAAATGAAAAATCAGATTCAGCATCATATAATTTTGTTGATTTGAACGTTTTTTTACATAGTGTTAGATAATTGAAACAAGGAATAATTAAAAATTACATATGTTTGTCATTCATAATTACTATTTATTTATTCAATCCTGCTTTTCTTTTTAATTGTAATTTACTATAGGATGTTTTAAAATTCATCCTTTTGTATGAGAATTTCTGGTAAACTCGAATATCCTTGCTCATCAATATTAATTTGACCAATTGCTTTATTTCCATATTCATCTTCAATCATAACTAAATGTTTCTTTTTATATTTTTCATAATTAATTTTTTGTTTATCAATTGTATTTGATACAATTGTATAAATAATTTGAATTAATTGTGGAATTATTAATATACCAATAAAACAAGTTAAAAATTCAATAATTAAACCAATATATGTTAATGGTCGACTAGTACCTTCGCCTAATGATGTAAATGCATTAAATGAAATCCATATAATTTCATTTAATGAATGAAAATAATTTGTATTATTTAAATTTTTATTAATTAAAAATTCAATAGGTGATGATATTTGTTCAACAGAAAGAATAAGTAAAGCAAAAAAAAGTATAATTAATATTATTGATTGAAATATTTCAAAATAAATTGATAAATATTTAGTTAAATCATATATTATTTGATAAGCATAAGATGATAGACGTATACTACGAAAAATACGAGTAGCATATTGAATAACAAGTAAACTATATAACCATGTAGGTGGTATTGGCTAAATAATAAAATTAAAAAAAAAATATTAAAATTTAATATTTCTTACCCATATAAAAAGAAATAAAGAAATTGGTAATAATGAAAAAAAATTAATTAATATTAAAAATAATGTTGTTAATTGAAATTTTGGATGTATAAAATAATATATAAGTAATTCAATATAAAAAAATGTTAAAACAAATATTTCAATAATTAATGTTTTTTTTATTAATATAATTTTTTCATGATCATTATTAATAAATAAAATATTTGTAATTTCAATAAATATAAAAGATATTATAATAGAACAAATTGTAATAAGTCCACTAATAATTCGATTTAGATTAAATTTATATTTTGAAATATTAGAATCGAATGTAAACCAAAATGCTCGACGATATTTATCTAAATCAATAGATACAATAATTTTATTAGAAATAAAAAGTTTTTTAAAATCAACAGATCAATGTTAATTCTAATAAGTCACGTGTGAAATATTCGAATTCGAATCATATTTTCAATGAAATTTTTATAATTTGAATTTGATAATCATTACGAAGATACTTTTTTTGGATTATTTATATTACACAACTAAAATTTGGTCAAGTCTCAATTCATGACTCATTCGATAGGTGAAGGAGACAAATACGAGAAAATAAAAGTCTCTATTAATTTTTCTTTTATTGAAAGACTCAACTGAGTTGTGTACAATCAATGATGAATTTTTCAAGTATCTTGCTATTGAATTCAATATTTATTAATAATGTTCTTTTATAAATTTCATAATAAATTTATTATTATTGTTTAATTTAGTCAACAATGTTATATGAGATACAAGTTGAATTGAACTTTTTTTGTTCAACTTATATATTAAGGTTTCTATTTGATATATTTGTATGAGTTAAAAAATGTATCAAATTTGTAAAAAAAAAATTAATGTTAATTTACCAGAAGGAATATAATAATCAATAGTAATACAATTTGAAATAATATCATAAATAATTTGAATATTAAAACCAAAAAATACAAGTTCATCATAAAGAATTTCAACTGGATAATGTATTTCTGTTGATAAACAACCATGATGAAGATAATATGTAATTATATAATTCATAATACCGGGTGTTCGATAAAAATAATATTGTTCTGTTAATGAATCATAATATTCTAATCGTTCAAATGGATTACCAAGTAATGTATGATAATATTGATTAAGTTGATGAGCATATATTATAATTGAATTACTTTGAGATAAATCATTGATTTTTACAAGATCTGAATCTTGATTATAATAGTTTTCTTCATACGTCATTATATCATAGATTTGTTTATAATAATGCGCGAAAAGAATAAGAAAAAAAAAGAAGAAAATCTAAGGTTTCTTTTCCATTTTCATATAATAAAATTGAAAAAAAGAAAAGTTACAAATCAAATATGAGGAAGAGTACGAGAGGCGAAGTTGTTTTAAGCGCATGTCAAATTCAAGCAACACGTCTTAATAAACTTGAATATCGTCGTTTACAACGTAATGTTACTTTATTACATGATGATTTCGAATCACATATTGCTCGAATACATCGACAAGAACAAGGTTTAAGATA